CCGTCGTCTTCTGGTGGAACCGACCTTCGAATCTCTTCACCCAACATTTCTACTCGAAATGGAAGTAAGCCCAAGAATTAAGAAAAGACTAGTTGCGTCGCCTCCCTTTTGCATGCGGCTCAATTCCCTCTCTATCCTTTAGTCTATTAATTAAACACATATTGTGTGTATGTAATGTCCATGTCATGGGAAGTGTGATAATCCTAGCTAGACTCGAGGCTAATCTAGCCTACACCTGTCCGTAAAATATGGATTCTAGCTCGGATTATGTCTGTCACAGTACAGACGAAAACTAAGCGCAATGTCATCGGGGTCGCAGGACGGTCAGGCGAGGACTTCTTCGCACAATTCAACAGTCTCCTCTACGCCGCAATCCTTCTTCGGTTTCCGGTGAGACCAAATCACGAATTCCTTCCTACCGACTCTTCCTTCGAAATGGAAAGTTACGCCACAATACATAACTAAGGAATTCTTCGAAACTCAGTTTTATTTCATAATTTATTGAATCGATTTTAGAATTGTTTTAAGCCTTGTTATAATTCTAAAATTCACCTGTTCATCTGCCTTGGCCCATCCAGAATCACAAGGTACTTGATTAGACGTTTATTTGATAATCGTATCCCATTGAAAAGTACTAGCCCTAATCCAACTGGACCGACTGAATTGACAGTTGATTGGTAGCATCCAAGTCTGCCTTTTTGTCGACTTTTAAAACCAAATAAATTTCTTAAAAATTGCACCTTTGACTAATTCAATCCGTTGAGTTGCCCACATTGACGAATTGCTTCTTACGCCCCGATCTCGGTAGCTGCCCAACCGGTCAACTACTGCTCTCTGCCAATCGCTGCTTCATTCAGGCTGCCTGTTCGTTGCGGCCCTGTCTGAATGACGGCGCCTGCCGCCTAGTCTCGACGGATTCTCGGGGCTACCAATGTACCTGCACAGGAGGGTTCACTGGCGCAAACTGCGAACTCGCTATTCTCGAGGCAGGAATCGGCGCCGGCGCAATTGCCGCGATCATCATCCTCCTGCTCTTGCTAATTGGTACAGTATTCACTTTGTAGTTTAGTATATTCTTCCGGCACGGCCCCACGGCCGTCACATGTAAATGTGGGCTTTTTTCGAGTAGCTCAAATGAGCAAATTGCCCTTCGCTTATACATGACAGTATGTTTGCGCAACAACTTCTCGAATAAAAAGGCAGGAAACATCTGCAACCATGGGAGGATGAAATTTTTGTGATTTTAGTCCTGTGTTTGCCATAGCACTACTTGATCCTATTTCTAAATTGGAGTTCAGGTTTTCGCCAAATATAAATTTCAGATGCATTGCCAGGAAGTAATGCCTTGGCACAAGTGATCCAGTTTTATCTGATCCAGTGGATAACCACCTGGCCTACAGTCCCACCAAGCCTTGTTTAAAAAGATGGATAAAAATTACTTTTAACATTCAAAATATAGGGAAATTAGTTGCCAAAAAAGGGGTTTGACCTCGTTTTCACAATTTGGTCTTGCCAGGGCGACTTAGTTGGACGTACCTTGCCCGAAGTCCTTCGCCATAGTAGTTATCATAATTCCCAGCGTCAGATCGTGGACTTGGTACATTCTCAGCGATTTCGCCAGCATCGCAGTCGGCAGCATCAGTGAGTTGCCATTCTCGGCCGGCTGAATACAGCCAGATAAAGAAGACAATTATTGGTGCCGGCAAAACGTCTGAGAATATACTAAGTCCACGGTCTGACGCTGGGAATTGTGATAACTACTATGGGAGAGAACTTTCGTCAAGGTGCGTCCAACTAAGTCGCCCTGGCAACAAGACCAAGTCGCAAAAGCGAGGTCAATCCACTTCTATACATCGGAAGGAGACTGCGACCATACCAAGTTCACACCATCTTGGTATTCATATCTTCGATTAGTTGTAAAGTTTGGATTTCTCTCCATTTATTTGATGGCAGATGACTACAAGTGTCTGAAGTCCATACTACCCAATGTATAGCTTTACTTTAACATCTTGGCTGCATACAATCAAATACTTCATTTATTATAGTTTACTACAACAAACCTGCAAACAGAACGTGAATTAAGAACTATATCTCTTATGCGAAACAATCAATTTGTCCTTAGATGACGAACTTACCCAAAAAAGGAAGAATACGTAATTCCCGCTATTCGACTCTGGCAACCAAATTTATGAAAGTCAATATACGGCTCGAAAGGTCATTGACTCCAGTGCCTGTAATAATATCATAAGTAAACCTAATTGTGGTGTACGATTAAAGATCTATGTTATCATGTCGCTATTTTGCCAATTGCTGGAATGACACATCTTACAGTTGTATTACAGATATTTTACGAGATTCAGACGAAATTCTACTTGTTGTGGAGTCTTTCATTTCATATGAAAGTCGTCCAAAAGAAGCGACTCAACTTGTCAGCTTCGTGATGGTTCTAACCAAATTCACATTCGTTTAACAGGCTCATCAACCAAAACTAATGTACGAGATTATGTAATCCCAGCTATGCTTTTCATTTGGTCATTAAACATTGATGACTCCAACCTAACGGGTCCCGACTGGTTGTTTCGCAATCTGACTTACACGAGTACAGGGTTACTTACGGACTAACAAAATCTC